ATCAATAACATCATTCATCTCATTATGAACATTGAGAATGGCGATTGTTTCCAACGAATCGTAATCCAAATTCATAGCCTGAAARAAATAAAATGTAAAAGTGCTGCTAATACAAGAGAGCTTTGTAATCTCCATTCAATTGGAGCTTTGTAATGACCAAAATCAAGGATTCAAAAAACAGTCATGAACATTGTTAGCCGAGAACATGTGAAAAAAAGAGCTTTGTAATCTCCATTCAATTGCAATCGAATAAGGAAAGCCCAAACTCATAAATCGAATGCGACTTACTTCGGATTGAAGATGATTCTTTGAGAGAAGCTTAGCAACCTCAGGAGGAAGTAGGACGAGGACGTGCCTGTAATGACAAAAGCTTAACGATGACCCATGACGAAAAATCACAGATTTACAAGCATCCATTCGAACCTGGAGATTGAGGAGTTGAAGGAGAGACGAAAAAGCTCGAGACCAAAAGTGAAGAAGTTTCTTAAGAGCGCTTGAAAAATCTCCAAATAAGAAACGACGTCGTTTCTTAGAAAAGAAGAGGACAAAAAAATTATACGGACTAAACGGGCTATCCGTTTAACTTCTTAAAAATCTGTTTATTAAACGGATCTTAACTGGCTTATCCGTTTAGGTCCGTTTATTCTTAACTCGTAAATGGACCTAAACAGACTCATTTTCATTAAAAAGACCCGATTAAACCTGTTTATTTTGAACCTGTTTTAACATCACTAAAAGAAACCCAAAAGCTTGCTTCTCACTTCTTGAAGATGTGACCACCAACGTAAAGCATATTCAAGATTCTGTATTAATTTGTCTTGATTTTCCCTAAAAAAAGCTTATCTCTCCTCGTAGTGCTCACCAGAAGTTGGATTTCTTTTTCTTATCCTTTCTTAAATCCTCTCTATCTGGAAAACAACAAACAAAATCTACTTATCAAATCGAAAATAATAAAATCATCCAGATTTTCCTGCACGACTTTTCGCCACGCCACACCACACCTTTTTGTCTGCTTTACCCACCAAATCTCACAGTTTTTTTTTTGCTATTCCTCGCTCTTTGTCGTAACCAATTTCGTCACCAATAAGTGATTAAAGAAACTTTGCTTTTTAACCTATATAAGCCAGAGAGAATTAAGTTTTTTTGTTTTGGTTGTTGTTGCAGAACAATCAAATATCAGCAAACATGTTGCCAAACTTCGACCGAACAAACCCAGAAGCTTGCCTGTCACTTCTTGAAGATGTGACTACCAACGGAAAGCAGATTCAAGATTCCGTTTTGGAAGCTATACTTTCACGTAATGCTCAAACGGAGTACCTTAAAGGTTTCCTCAATGGTCAAGTTGATAAGCAAAGCTTCAAGAAGAACTTACCTGTTGTGACCTATGAAGATTATCGGTCTTATATCGATCGTATCGCTAATGGAGAGTCCCATGATCTCATTTGTGATCGACCCATCAGTGTACTCTTGTCCAGGTACCTTTTTTCAAACCTCGAATTCTCTTCTATGTGAATCTGTGATAACTACAGAAATTTCAGAGCTTTTTGGTGATGTAAAGTTAAATTGGACCAATTTTTGTCTAGAGTTTCAGAATAGACTTGAAATTTTGGCTCCTAGATAATAATCCAAAAGGAGATCGACCCACATGCATATTCTTAATTTCTCTTCGTTTTACAAAAGACAAAATATTTGAGGAAATTTGGACAGAACTTGTGGGTACATATTGATACATTGAATTGAAGTGTACGAATATGTAAAGATTTAAGGAAGAGGTTGTTTTTTACAGCTCGGGTACTTCAGGAGGAGTTCCAAAGTTGATTCCTTTGACAACAGAGGAAATGGAACAAAGGATATCGTTTTCATCTCTCTATCCACCTATAATCCGCAAGTAATGGCTTCCACATACTCCAAAATGTGTTATCTGTTTTGTTGTTGGTACCAAAAACCCAAACCCAAACCCATTGTTGTTGCTGTTTTCAGACACATCGAAGGGCTTAGCGAAGGAAAATCTCTCAATTTTTATTTCGTCAACCGAGAAAGCAAGACTGCCTCTGGCTTGATGGTCAGGACTATGATAACTTGTGTTTTGAAGAGTGTGAACCCAACCACCGACTCATTTCTTTGGTAAATCATTTGCTCACACATTATATTTGCGTTTCGCCGAGGCTCTTGACTAATCTTGGGGATGTACTAGTGTTTCTTCAATGTGCTTTGTTATATGATTTACAGGGATCGAATACAGATAAGCCCGCATGAGATTTTGACTTGTGCAGACACTACTCAGAGTATGTACTGCCAATTGCTTTGTGGGCTTCTACAACGCGAAAATGTAGCTCGCCTCGGTGCACCATTTGCTTCTTCCTTGCTCAAAGTAATCAAGTTCTTGGAAGATCACTGGCAGGAGTTATGCTTAAACATAAGGACTGGCTGTCTCAGCGACTGGATCACAGACCCGCAATGTGTTTCAGGGATCGGTAAGTACCTCACATGTCCAAATCCGGAACTGGCGAGTGTGATCGAGCAAGAATGCAGTAAAACATCATGGGAGGCAATAGTGCCGAGACTATGGCCAAAAGCAAAATGCATTGAAGCTATCATTACCGGGTCCATGGCACAGTACACTCCAATGTTGGAATTTTATGGCGGAGGCCTCCCTTTGATTTCATCGTTTTACGGCAGCTCTGAATGTTTCATCGGTGTCAATGTCAATCCTTTGTGCAAGCCTTGTGACGTGTCGTACACCATCATTCCAAATATGGGATACTTCGAGTTCTTAGAGGTGGAGAAAGATCAGCAAGAAGAAGTTGCTCATGATTCCGCAAAGAACCATGCGGTTGTCGATCTTGTGGATGTTAAAATCGGCCATGATTATGAACCTGTTGTCACAACGTTTTCTGGTAAGATTTTTCTTGTTTGCTCTCTCCATTTCAATCTAAATGTTGATATAGAATTTACTACAGAGTCTTTGTTTAGGAAAAATAACATTTTTATGTATATACTTCTCACAAGATCTATCTTTATATATTTACAGGTCTCTATAGGTACCGTGTGGGGGATGTTTTACGAGTGACTGGTTTCTACAACAATGCGCCACAATTTCATTTTGTGGGAAGACAAAAAGTTGTCCTGAGCATCGACATGGACAAGACCTACGAAGAAGATCTCCTCAAGGCCGTGACAAACGCGAAGCTCTTGCTCGAGCCACATGACCTAATGCTCGTAGATTTCACTAGCCGTGTGGATTCCTCTTCGTTTCCAGGACACTACGTGCTCTATTGGGAACTCGGGACCAAAGTCAAGGACGCAAAGCTCAAGCCCAAACCCGAGGTTATGGAGGAATGCTGCTTTACCGTTGAGGAGTCTCTCGACGCTGTGTACAGAAAAGGAAGAAAGAATGATAACAACATTGGACCACTTGAGATTAAGGTTGTCAAACGTGGCACTTTCGATGAGCTCATGAATTTCTTCCTGTCTCGAGGTTCTTCTGTGAGTCAGTTCAAGACACCGAGGTCGGTGACAAACAAAGAACCCTTGACGATATTGGAGGCGGCGGTTGTTTCGGAGTTTGTTAGCCGGAAAACTCCATCTTGGGAGCCTCATGAGCTACATTCCAACCGATAAAACCGCCGTTTGTAAGACTTTGAGGGAGAGGGAAATAATCATAGTCAAAGATAAACAAAACCCCGTGACATATTGAATGTATAAACTTCGCTCTATATATATATATTTTTTTTTTTCTCAAACCGAAATTTCATTGAAATCAAAGAGTTTAACCTCCACTAACGAAGGATACAACTAAGCCACAAATAACTAAACAACCCATAATCTCAATCAACATATCGATCAAGCAAATGGTAAAGATAAAACGACAAATACTCAAATAGAGCTTTAGGGATAAAACTGAATTTGTAAGTTCAAGCAAAGTGGTAATCGAAAAAGAACATACAAATTCCTTATCGAAACCACTAAGAGAGGGAATCAACACCTCCATAGCCGTTAAGGCCAAATAGACATCACCATCTATTGAAGAACGAGACTTGATTAGGGTCCTTGCTTCTGCTCCAAGCAGATTCGCCTTCGACACAATGCTCCCTATATCATTAATCATAAGTGAAAAATTTGGGAGGAAAACAAACTCCATAAAGGAGGAGACTGCAGCAGCTAGCGCATAAGATGCAGCAAGAAACTTGGCTACAGAGATAATTAAGCACCATCTTGATGAGCATGGGGACTGTGAGGAAGTCCATAGCCACGAGGAGGTCTGAAAATGTAAGTACCTCCATTGCCAAACAACCGAATCTGATACTAAAGATCCAAGATTGGGTTTGGTGAGTCCATCTCTTATCTTCCCAAAGTGTAATCCTGATTTAATAGATAAGACAACCAAGAAAACAATATACTGCATAAACACAGATAAGAAGTTTCGAGTAACATCCTCGTATTGAGGTAAATAGACCTTATATTGAAGTAATAAAACATGTAAAAGCTGGCTAAAACTTCGCTATATATATATATGTCAAAATTGGTGGATCGTTACTCTCATACAAGTAATCGAATATATAAATAATGCATTACATTCATCTGAGTATCACAAAATCTTTTTCACTTGTTTAGAAGCTTACCAAAAGAGTCAAAATAAATGGTTTCACACTTTCAATTGTCACACTCACATGACAAAATGACATCGTTTTTCACTTAGCTTGAGACATTATTCTCTGTATGCGGACCTACGAGAGCTAGAGGATTGGCGGGCCCCACTAATTAGATCCAAGGGTTGCTACTCTTCCGGACACGTCACCGTTTCCGCGAAATCGACACGCAGATCCTTTCTTCATCAGTGAACGGAGATAACTCGCCATCAATCTCTCTCTATTCGAAGGAAATTCCGGCGACGATGATGCCACCGGAGCTACAGCCGCGGCTGTTCCGGCCGCATATAGCTACTTCCTCCAGTGAACCTGCTTTGTCTTCATCCTCTTACTCTCCTCACATGAGCCCTGCCTCGACAAGAAACTTCATCGATCGAACTACTCCTGCTTCGAGATCCAGCAACTCTCGATTCTCTCCTTCTTCCTTCGCCTACAATGGACGGATCGCCATTGCTCTTGTCCCCTGCGCAGCCTTCCTCCTCGACCTCGGCGGCACTCCGGTTGTCGCTACCCTCACCATCTGCCTCCTCATATCATACATCGTCGATTCTCTCAACGTCAAATTCGGAGCCTTCCTGGGAATATGGATGTCGCTGATCGCTTCTCAGA